TTTACAAAGAGCAACCCCTAGAATTTCTTGCTCGTTCTTCTCAGGGGAATCTGCCGTACGAATGAGCAGTAGAGTGTAATCAACATGACAATTTCAAGTGTAATTTGCTTGCATATGAAATAAAAATAATTTTACTTTGACAGAATATACTTTGAAGTAGGTTTTAGATAAAGCCATCGAGTATATGTAACCAGAAATAGAAACGAAATGTTATTTAATTTGTTTGAAGACTATTCTGCCATGTCATTACTGTGACAACTGCGCTCCGATTGGCCAGCCCGAGTTCGAAACAATTGACGGGTGTCGTCAATGGGTGTCGTCAACTGCTTCACTTAACCGACCAGTTAACTTGAGCTTTGCTACGACGAAAATTGCAAAATTACATATTTAATATTTAATTACCGATGAAATATGATACCGTTTATTTTGTAATTAGATGTTTTCCTTTTTTTCCTACAGCACCGAATAGAGCAGCACGGCATTGTTAGAGATATTATCTTTATTACAGTAAATACACAATATTTTTTGGAATAAACGGAGACGTACACACAGGTCAGTAGTTAGCATGTCTATATTTCAGTGCAAACGAGAGTTGATGTTTATAAGAGCTGTATTGCTAATGTGCTACCAGGAATATATGGTCCTTATTTCGTCTCTATTCCTGATTATATATACTCTATGGATAAAGCAGATCACACTTTTTTTATAGGATTAAAGATGAAGAAGATCGCACTTACAAATAAACAAGCATTACAATTTCCAGCACTGATTTGAACCAGTTTTAATTTCCATCACTTATGAGGAATATTAACAAAAATAATATGCATTGTGTGCCATTACTTGATGAAGAATGCATAAGTGAATTTAGGAGAGTTGAAGTACCACATTGACATAAATTATTTACTATAGAGTACTTCTAATATCTCTTAAGTTATTTTAACTAAGCAATTTTCTCTTTGACTAACGCAATCTCCACAAGTGTTCACAAGCACGCTATGAATTATGCCATGTTGAAATGTCTTGAATAGTATTGTAATTGAAAAATTCCTCGGAGGCGAAGGTTGAATTTTTGATAGCCACAATTGTTTGGGTTTTGATTGCTATTTGCGAAACGAATAACTATAATGACCACACCTAATGAATCATCAAAATTTTACTTTAAGTTATTTACATAGCGTTTAAATTTGCAATTTACCAGAGCGTCAGTTTGTATAGCTTGACATGTTGTACTGCCTGCAGACTTGTTCTCTAAATATTATAACTTCGGTCTTTTCAAGGCAATAGTGAATAGGCGTTATATATCCTCTTTACTTTCCATCAGGTGAGTAAGGCCAAATGCGCATTTATTTCTTATAAAAAACACATACATTCAGTTCCACATCAACCTTGACTGTCATTTTTCAAACTATTTTAAGCTCTACGTAATGACGTCAAAACCTGTCCGAAACTATACATGAAAACCTGAATTGGCTGTTTTTATTCCTGCTTTTTATTAAGTTTTAAAACACTTTTACGCTGGTTTAAGCGATAGTTACACTTAGTAAATGAAACTATTTTTTGGATCTAAGTCGAGTATATTTGTTTTTTCAAATAAACCAATGGGTCCTATGGTCACCGTTGATTGCTTTAAAGGTATTCCATGAATAAACAAATAAATAGCAAAATAGAGAGCATAGAAAAGGGAATGATTCGATGGTCATGTGGAATGAATGAATGTTGGTAGATTGACGATACAAATTGCTAATATGGATGGAGGCGTGGAGAAAGGTAGATCACTTCGACATACATATCTCGAACAGATTGGGAATGTCCATAAAAAGACCGGGTTAAATATACCAAGAACAAACGGGTAAGTATGAAGAGACGAAATGGGAGTGGAGGAAGCGAAAGAGGTTGGTTTGTCACGAGCGTAGCAGGAGGAGGTCGATGGTTTCTATGATATGTTTGTTTTAGATTTTTGTCATTTTATTATTGCAGGTTGTAACACATCTGTAGTTTTTTTATGACACCAAGAGACAGGACGCGCAAGTCGTACGCCTGATGATCAGCAACACTTTAAATCGCAAAGATCTGAGGGGCACTGCCACTGCGCCCGCCAACCTGATTCATAAGTTGACAAGTCGAGTGTGCCTGTAATTTCACCAGTACCCTTTCAAGGCCGTAACGCAGTAATGGTAACATTACTGCTTAATGGCTGAAATAGGTAAGGCGGCAGTACTTCCCTGGACGAACTCTTTCCCATAGATCCCTACTGCTACAAAACGCTGTACTTCTCTCTATCCTCTTTGCGATTTAAAGATCTGAGCTGAGATCTGGTCGCTTACGACCAGGCGCACGACTTGTTCGTCCCGTCATTTGGTATCAAAAAACGTAATATTTGACGTCAGACCATAATACGTCTCACTGCTCGGCACGAGCACCTTCTGAAGAGAAGGTTTAAATAATATTCCATCACGTTCCAAACTTTATAAACCTTTTGAGACATTCAGGTTCACCGTTAGAGCGATCCAACACCGGCGTTGACGATGCGTCGCGTCGTCGCACTCGCAACGCTCTGATTTCAATGCACCGAGTGCCACACAAGCAATGCGGTGTCGCAACATAACGCCACACTTACTTACGGACTGCAGCACCCCTCCTCGCTTCGTTTCCTGGACCGTAATCTGATGCGCACGCGTTCTGTCGCCGCGCGCCGTTTCATCGCAATATTAGCATGTGGTTTTAATTTAAATATAGTATAACGCAGCGTCACCGCTATGGCCCATGCAGTCGCAATGCCGACGCGTCACATCGTGTGGCATTGCTTTTAGCGAGAGATTTTGCCATTAACCGTTAACAAAGGACAGTAAATTGTAAATAATGAAAACAAGTAACTCTGAAAGTAATTTTATTGTGATGTCTCAAAATTAACTTTGGCTTCAAGCACAATCTTACCTCAAACGATACACAAAGATAAAATTTAAGGTTAATTAATGTATATCTGTAGAGATAACAATCTGGAACTTGTGATATAAAAAGAAATAAGAAATATAATTACAGTCCTTATTTTAACGCAAGATTATTAAAATAGAGTCAAAGCCAAGTTATTTTCAAATAACCCAACGTTTGTCACGTGAATGTAATATAAAAAAAATACCAACTAGGCAATAGCCTCCTTTACACACTCACTCCGTCGTGCGTGATCGGGAGCGTACAGGCATGCGTACGGGAAAACCTACACGAGCAATCGTGCGCGAAAGAGCGTCCGTATAAAGTCTAATAGCGCAGGATAGACCGCGTGAAACTGGCGCGTGTTGGAGAGCACGATGCGCGCGCGACTGACAACTTCCAACGTCTTTATACGCGCGTTCAATTGCGTACGATTGCATTATCACACGCGATAGAGTGTCTGTGTAAAGCCTGCTCTTAATTATAAACAATACGATTGAGTAAACAAGAGTAAGTTATTTTTTAAACAACCTTTTCTCTTAACACATCGCTTCTATCATTAAAATAACCTCTGTTCCACACTTTGGAAACAAATAATATTTTTATGAGCTCCTAAATTATTTAATAAATTAAGTACCAGACACTGCAATGGTAACAAATTCCGAACAATTTAATATAAATTTGCACAATTTAGGAAATGAAACTATTTTTCCGGATTTAAATATTCGTTTTTTCAAACAAACCAACGTTTCGGGCCACGTTTACAGGTCCCATATCTTGGGAGATCCGGAAAAATAGTTTCATTTCCTATATAATGTAACAATCGCGAAAACCTAAGAACTCGATTTGCACAATTTGTTAATTACTCAATGCTAAAAAAATATTGGCAAATTTTATGAAGTATTTTATTTTTTTAACTTTGTTTAATTTTCGTTTCTGTTTTTAATTCTTATTGCACACAACAATTCAGTACATAATTTAAAATAAAAACATGTCATACCTAGTTCAGTTATTTGATTATTGTTACTTAATGCAAGTTAGTAACCTAACCTAACATTTACGTTAAGCCTAACATTTGACCGGGCCTCGTGAAACTACATTTAATTTTAACCAACTTCAAAGAAAGGAGGAGGTTCCGAATTCGACTATATTTTTTGTGTATATGTAACGCGATTACTCCAACAAATTTGTAAACCGATTACGTTGATTCTTTTTTTTTTGTTGGTGGAAAGGAGGTACCTCAATAATGGTTCCATTCATATTAGAAGAAAATATTCCAATTTGGGGTGTTCCCTTTCCGTTAACTGAATTCAATAAAACTTTGCAAATAGACGTAATTCCACAAACTTTTGAGGTTTTTTTATAAAAAGTTATAAATGTGTTACTGTCAACTTCTATACAACTTGTATTGCCACAGATAAATTAATTATATTATTAATTACATGTGTTAATGCGTGAATTCCCAAGAAACAGCAGTGTTTTGTTTTCATAAACGAGCAGAGTGTTAAAGATGCTTTTGATTAATAAAAAATTACCCGAATTTTACTATGTGTAGGTATACCCTACAAGTCTGCCCGTGTGTTGGGCCTTTTACCAGACACGTACAAACACAGATATTGAAAATTAAACACATATTACCTAAATTAAAACCTGCCCGTCAAGTATATAACCAAAAATAGAGACGAAATAAGGGCCATCTATCCCTTGCAACTCATCGGGTAAATGGGCCATGTATCATTTTCAAATATCAACTCTCGTTTGCACTGAAATCACAAATTAGAAAACTGAAACAGTACAGCGTCAACAACTGACCTGCGTGTACGTCTGCGTATACTCCAAAAATATTCTGTATGTATTGTAAAGATAATATCTCTAACCATGGGGGGCTGTTCCATTGCTGAAAAACAGCAAAACATCTAATTACAAAACAAACGGAATCATATTCCATCGGTAATTAAATATTAAATATGTAATTTTGTAATTTTCGTCTATTATAGCAAAGCTCAAGTTAAACTGGTCAATTTGAAGTGAAACAATTGACGACACCTCGAATTCGGACTGGCCAATCGGAGCGCAGGTGTCACAGTAATGATTTGGCAGAATAGTTTTCAAAGAAATTAAATGTCATTTCGTCTCTATTTTTGGTTATATACTCGATGAACCAGCCCTATCTAATCTATTCGGTATAACTTACACGTTATCGATTGTCAAATTTTTTAAGAGCGCTGTCACGCTTTTTCTTTTTATGTACACTAAAATTCCACACCAAAAAATGCATTTTTAGCTCTGCAGAGCTTTACTGACTTACTCAAATAAAAAATAGACATTGAATGAAATATGTTTCATAAATGTCTTTACCTAAACTTGGTTTTATTGACATGTTTCTAATGGAAGCACTGTACTAGGAACTTATGGCTTAGGCAGGATGTCATCCAATATAACTCCATCGACAATTTTGTTAGCCGCGTTAAAGAGGACATTGGACACTTCCTTCTCCAGGTACGGTTTGGCCGTTCTCATCAATTCTCCTCGGTTCTGGTTTAATATTTCATTGGTCGCGTCACCTGTTAAAAATATTATTAGATTAGGTTCAATGATTTGAGAATTTAAAAGAAACACAATGTAGCAAATCGCAGCTGTAACTATAAATGTTTTTTATATCTTATACAGTCTTTTTATCAGTTTTCTTATACATTCAAACGGGGACGGGGATGAACAAGTCGTGTGTCTGGTGGTAAACGATAGGCCTACTTATAACAGTTGCATTGCCAATCAGAGAACTCGCAAAAATCTGAGGGTTTTAGTAACAGTAGACCTTACCTATCTACCTAAGGTAAGGGTGCTGGTAAAATTACAGGTACATGGGACTTGGGAATTTTTATATATAAAGCTAAGTGGCTGGACGAACAAGTCGTGCGCCAGGTGGTCAGCGACTCGCCTGTGCATAACAGTTCCAGTGCCACTCAGAGCTTGAAGTCACAAAGATCTGAGGGGCATGGCTTGTTCGTCCTGACTATAAAAATAAAAAGTGCTTCCCTTGCACCCGCCACCCGGAGGCATAAACTTAACAAGTCCCATGTACTTATAATTTCACCAGCACCCCTTACCCTTAAAAATCGGAACACAGCAGTAACGCTCGCAGTACTTGTTGGCGACAGCAAGCAAATTGAAGAAACATAATTTGCACCGATGAATGTTGTCGATTGGAACGGCTTATACGTTTTTACAATAAGATTCCGGAGCGTATATTAAGATTACCATTTCCTAAGTTTAAAACTTACATAGGAAATGAAACTATTTTTCCGGATTTAAATCGCGTATATTTGTTTCTTCAAACATACCTCAGTCAACCGTGACCACGGGACCTGTAAAGGGCCCGAAACGTCGGTTTGTTTTAAAAAACAAATATACGCGACTTAAATCCGGAAAAATAGTGTCATTTCCTATTGTGATACATCGCGAATACCTTTAAAACTTACACTAAAAATATTTTAATTGAAAACTCTTATTACAAAATTGTAGACTACGTGTTAGATAACAATGTATGGAAAGACAACATGAGTCTAGATCCCATACAAATATGATTTAAAATGTATTCCATAGCATTTAAGTTTGTTTAAAAAGAGCAATCCCTAGAGTTTCTTGCTCGTTCTTCTCAGGAAAGTCAGCGTGGTAACGTTTTCAAGTGTAAATATATTGTACCTATGGCATAAATTATTCTTTGCCTTTGACTTATTACAATAAAGTAATAAACCTTTAACAGTTAAAACATACACTTGTTAACAAACCGGTTTACGGACGGTTCGCTCAGTGTCTAGTCGAATAAAATAATGTACATACTTTGCCGTGGCGTCTTCACTGTTGTACAAATGTATGCCTATAAATAAAGATAAAAATAATGTCTACCTACGTATAAGATTTATTTTTTTTATATTTTGTATTGGTTTGTTCGTAGCAAGGAATAAATGGCATCGAGACAAACCCAAGCAGGGTTTAACGATGTTTTATATTATTTATGTATACTTTTTTCTTAAAACAATAAAATAAATAATACATGAGTTTAACGATCTCGGTCCATCGTACGAGTCAGGGGTACGCTTAATGCTTTTTCTGAATTCTACTTTTGAAATATTTCTGTACACAAGCGGTCGTTTTTTTAACACTAGGTTCTTCTTAAAATACGGACTGTCGAATCTGTTCTTACTAATTCAACAAGTTATTTCCGCATAAAGATTATCAAGTTTAGAATTAAATACCAATGCGCAAAAGTATTTCAACAAGTTGTTTGCACTAATACAGATGGCACGCGCGTTAACAAGACGATTCACCATTTTGTCCTTTTGTACTTTATAGACGAAGCGATAAGACGAGTCAGTGCTAATAAAATTTCGCCAACTATACTAACTCTACTGCTACAAATTATAATCCTAAAGTTGGCCGTATAAATTTTTCGAAGAGTCGTATCCCACCTGCACCCGGGGCGGCTCACCCAAGGCGCTAGCCTCTCAAGAACCGGATGAAGTCAAGTGACAGAGGTCTGTGACAACCCTGTACACTGGCTGATCTGGGGCCAGAACCTGAATTTGTAAGGTTGCTGTGCGTGCACAGGTTATAGTGCCCTTCTCGTATACCCTAAGGGTCGGTAGGGTGACTATAATCAAAACTAATGTAGAAAAGGGCTGCCCGTATAGCGTGCGGACGACATTATGCAAAGCATAATAATTAATACATGTCACAATCTTCCTACTTAAGTATAACTTAATCTCTTGGCCTAACTTACCGAGAGCTTTATCTCCATTGAAGAGGCCCTCGAGTCGGATGCGATAATCCTTGATGTTGGCATCTGTGTCTACTTTGGTGAACTTGAGGTATTCCTTCCCGTCGCGCTCTTCCACTTGAGAGTAGATGGTAATCTCCACGTCGCATTTCACTGGACAGAGAATTTTTTTATTTATTTATACGCATCTCCTGGATATACGTATCCCTAATACTGAGTAATTTTATATCAAGCTTTGGTTTGTGATGACCTATAGCGGTGGTTGTTTGGTTAAGATATGCAGAATATTGCAGCAGTTAACACGGGAAAGGGACCGCATGCATTTTGTTTTGCCATTAGTAGTATATAGTGCATATGTATTTTATATATGCATATATATTATATTATTTACCTTTATATACGTTATTAACTAGTTACAATTTCGTCACTTGATCTTTTCGTCTCTTGCTTGATCGTTTTTGTTAAATCAAGTTATTCATTCTAATTTGAAGAGTCAACCATATACTATAATTTTTATTATTAGTTTTTGTCAAGTTTACCAGTTACGTAAGGCTTACCAGCATCAGCATACATTGTTCCCTGTCCCTTGAGTGGTAGGGCGAATACCGCCGCGTCGATCTTATATCGACCCTCAAGGTGAAACTTTGGAAAGCGAACGCGGGCTTTTATTGTGAAGGTATCCAGGTCCACTCTGCAAAAATAATAACAGAGGAATTTACATAACGTACTCTCTGAAAAAAATTTACAGCATTTTTTGAAGAGGAGATTACTACTTTAGAATAATTCTGCCGTACACTAACTAACACATGGCAAAGTGACAAATGGTCAAATATCCGTTTTAAGAAGATAGAGCACAAAATTCTTTTTCAAAAACAGTTAAAATACGTATTCTACTTATCGGAACTTATCCTAATGATATATAGCTAAAACGTCATCAAACAATTTCAGTATTCTAAAACTAGATTATAGTTCTTTATGATATCTCAAAAATTTTTTTTCTCACTTAACCTCATTTTAGTTATCGGACGGCAGAATTACTATCAATTCATTAAGACATCGAGTATATAACCAGAAATAGAGACGAAATGTCGTTAAATTTGTTTGAAAATTATTCTGCCATATCATTACTGTGACAACAGCGCTCCGATTGGCTAGCCCGAGTTCGAAACAATTGACGGCTGTCGTCAATGGGTGTCGTCAACTGTTTCACTTCAAATCGACCAGTTAACTTGAGCTTTGCTATAATGGACGAAAATTACATATGTAATATTTAATTACCGATGCAATGTGATTCCGTTTGTTTCGTAATTAGATGTTTTAGTAATAGAACAGCACGGCATTGTTAGAGATATTATCTTTATTACAATAAATATATAGAATATTTTTTGGAATATACGGAGACGTAAACACAGGCCAGTAGTTGTCATGCCTATAATTCAGTGCAAACGGGAGTTGATATTTATAAGAGCTGTATCGCTAATGTGTTACCAGGAATATATGGCCCTTATTTCGTCTCTATTTCTGGTTATATACTCGATGCATTAAGATAACGACGCGCCATCTGTAGTAATGTATACGAACATCGAAGGCTTGAACAGCCTAAAAAATTTAATTTAGTTCCGAGCCCACATGATAGATGGCGTTAATTTGAATTTAAAAATCTCAAAAACTCAAACGGCGTAGTAATTATTTACACATTAATTTTAAAGTGAGATTAATTGATTATAAATGAAAATGATAATAACTATATTAAACTGTGTACACAAGGAAAAAATCGATTAACAATCGATTAATTGTAGATTCAGGCAGTATTCTATGAGCAATGCCAATAATTAGTAATGGCAGGTTACTTACGATAGACTCTTGATGGTGAAGTTACCACCTCCTGACACCTTGATGTCCTTGCCCACAGCACTAAATCTGGCTAGGGCTGGGTTACTGGGTTTGATCTGAAAAATTAGTCATATTTGTTTATAAAAAGTCAGTCGGACGACTCGTGATGCGTTGCAATCTTTTGTATGGTTACTTTTTAATGATTATTGTAATTGCTGCAAATTTCTTGATACAAATTTGAAATTTTACACGAATTTTTCATACTGCAATTCGTATTGAGCGTATATGCTAAAATATGAAGTTTAATAGTTCCTAGACCTAGTGTGTACTACGTTCATTTATTACCAAAAACAAAAATAATTAACAGTGGGTTCTTAAATTTATCCAATTGCAATATCTTTGATGAAGCATGGTCTCTGTCTTCAATATCGCAATGCGGTATTTAATTTGATACAGGAATAAATTTGTCATTCGTTTTATGTATAATCTCAGTATAGAGTACTAAAAACAACCGACCTCAAAAGTCATTCATCCCCTAGTTTGCCACCCTTAGAGGTGGAATATTTTCTTCAAATTTAAATGGGACCAATACAGCGTACCCTCTTTCCAACAAAATAGAATCCTGAAAATCGGTTCACAAAATGAAATGCCGGAGTTATCGCCTAATACATACAAGAACAAACAATTAAAGCGAAATTGTAAACTACTTCGAATGAGATTTTTCAGTGTCATGTTACATTTTTATTAATAAATTATTATTGTTCTTATTAACCGACTTGAAAAAAGGAGGTTCTCAAATCGAGTGTTTTTTTATATGTATTACGCGATAATTTGTGAACCGATTTGTATGATTATTTTTTGTTGGAAAGAGGTTACCTCAGTATTGGTTCCATATAATATTCCACCTGTAAGGGTGGAAAACTAGGAGATGTATCCAGTTTCGCGCACTTTACGGTAACCGATTAATTTTGCTAAGTAATGAAAAGACGAAATGTAAGAATTTGATGCGTTGGGAACTTTGGACTCGATATAATAAAATAACTTCTTCTATACATATAAGTGTCATAATCACCTCGTTTGCACGTATCTGCATTTAATATTAAACAAGTCAGTACGCTTTTGCAGCAAGTGGAGCTCGACCATTCGAAGTCATGACTAACCTCAGGTATATAAAATGGCTCGATGCTGGGCACATCAAGCTCTGGGATTCCCTCAATGAGCTTCGGCCGCAACTTCTCGACTGCTTCTCGCGCGCATTTGTCTATGGTGTTCTGGTCTCGCTTGCATAGTGTTATGTAGCTGGCTGGAAATAAAGAAAAAAATTGTATGTAATTTATGTGGGAATTAATGTAACATTGTAAACGTATGGTTGATGTAAACGAGCGTATAGAATGACTGGGAGAGGTTTCGCAGAATGATTGGTTGGAGTGAAGGAGAGGCATTTTGTGAGACGACGAGTTAGCTGCGAGGGCTACTTTCGTTTGTTTTTTTTTTAGTTTAGAGTGACTTTTAGCAGCGATGCAAACGCGCGTTCGTGAAACGTGCGATTGCATCGATACAAACACGCGACTGCATCGATACAATCACCTATAAATCCCAAGCGTGGCGACGCAGTCGCGCGCTTGCATCGTTGCTAAATTCATGCGCGAAATTCCGCCGTGTGTAACCGCTCTTACTGTTACGAAATTGTTTAAATAAATATTTTAAGGAGTTTGTTTTTCTCACGACCCCACATTTATGACATTTTAATAACCTGGGTGACACAAGGGTATGCCATGTGGACATTAGATGCAAATCCGCGGTATCCCGGAAATCTCGGTACGACCATTTGTGGAATGAACTTTTTTAAATTGATTTTTGATTCAATGTGGTCTGGTTAATGAAGACATTACGTTTAAATTTATTTATATTGTATTTGGTTGTATACATATTGAATTGACAAAATTTAAATATGTATGTTTAGACGCTCGTTACGCCATCATGCTGAAACTGTTTATGGATTTAAATTATTTTTTTATTGGAAAGGGGTACCTTAGTAGTAATCCCATTCAAATTTTAAGAAAAAAATTCCATACCAAAGGGCGCGTATACACGTTAATAAATTCGACTTGTCTGCTACAGAAAAGATGAGAATGGTCTTGTACACGACAAGAACTTTGTCGGATCTCGCCACGAAAACATGTCGTGTCTATTGCAGACGAGAAAATGATGAGTATGTACACAATAGGAACGCTTTCAGACAGACGCATGTAAGGTAAATGGCGTCAGTGCATTACGAATCTTCCAGGTGGCTATCGTTTTACTGCCGAATGTGGGAAGAAATATGTTGTTGTATATGTTGCCTATTAAGCAACACCCGTCCACGCGCATAAACGTTCGTTTATTGACAATGCACCTCACCCCACCCCATAAAATAGCGACAGAGCGCGTCGTGTCGAGGATAGACAAGATTTTTTTCTTGTCCGGCGCCGAGGCAGTAATAAAAATAATAATAATTCATTTATTCGCTTCAAATAGGGTATGACACATTATACATGTTGATGGTGAAAATTTAAATCAGTACTTAAACCTCTTCGGCCTTCTTAAATAAAAGCATGCAAATACAATAATCAAAAATACACTGATTAATTAAGACCAAATGTAAAAACAATAGTTAGACAATAATAATAATAATATAATAATAACGCTCACACTCAACATAGCCCCGCACTAGGGAAACCCTGTGTCGCGGGTGCCATGGACACACACATAGACAACCACAAAATACACCCAAACTCACGAGAGAAATAAATGTAGGCCATACAAATATTTCTCCCGGCCCGGGAATCGAACCTGGGACCTCTGCGTGGCAGTCCGGCATGGTAACCGTTCGGCCACGGAGGCAGTTAATTAGACAATAAATTGATAAATTAAAGTTAATTGATTTAATACGAGATGTCATAATCGTGTATGTCATAATTTAAAGTAAATAATAATATTTGTAAAGAAAAATGTGTGCATCAATTAATTAGTTCCTATATTTCATGAATTCGTCAACTGAGTAGAACGCAATTCCTTTTTGAAACTAGTCAATGAAAGAAGTTTATAGCGATCTGGTATATGGTTAAAAAATTGTCCACGCATAACGTACAAAGTAGTTATTTTGGAAACGTTTTGTTTTGGGTATCGTAACAAGTATCACTTTATTGTGGTTCCTCAGGCTTCTGGCAGTTACATCCTTCGCTATTATGAATTTTGATAGATTTCGTTTCACAAATATACCAACTTCGAGTACGTACAGGCATGAGAGGGTCAATAGTCTTAGCGTTTTAAAGTGCGGACGACATGAGACATATGGCGCCCCATATTGTGAGAGCGTATTTGAGTACACAGTTCGTGTGTAGAAACGACACGAATTCTTGCATAGACCCGGCGACTTTTCTTAGCGTGGACACGCGCCGTAAAAGTGACAAATTAGGGTATGAATGATTTCAATAAAACTTGGTAAATAGATGTAATTCCACAAACTTTGGAGGTCGGTCCGGGACATAAGTTGAAAAGTCCCATGTACTTGTCATTTCTATCACCAGCACACTTTCCCTTCATAACCGGAAGGCAGTAATGCTCACGTTACAGCTTGACGGCAGAAATAGGTAAGATAAGGTAAATTTTGATATACTGTACCTAGTGTCTAAACAAATGTAGGCATTAAACGTAGTCATGGTTAATTATTTTATCTCA